AAGGATTCCCTAGCTAGGCTTAGAGAAAGGCTAGAAAAGAGCAAAAAAGAATGCAAAGCTGGGGCCGGCCTGGTGGCGCACTGCTACAGTGCGCCGCTTGGGAGTGCGGTGGCGCTCCCGCCGAGGGTTCGGATCCCACATACAGACTGGCCGCTCACTGGCTGAGTGAGGTGCGGGAGCAACACCGAGGGTTGCGATCCCGTTGCCGGTCCTGGTCCGGTACGGGCATGACACTGAGGGTTGCGATCCGTTGCCGGTCACGAAAAAAGACAAAAAGGAAAAAACAAAACAAAAATATAAATAAATAAAATTATTTATTTATTTATTTATTTTTTTCATGTCCGGCAACGGATCGCAACCCTCAGTGTCGTGCCCGTACCGGACCAGGACCGGCAACGGGATCACAACCCTCGGTGTTGCGCCCGCACCTCGCTCAGCCAGTGGGTGGGAACCGGTCTGTATGTGGGATCCGACCCCTCGGTGGGAGCGCCGCCGCACTCTCAAGCGGCGCACTGTAGCAGTGCGCCACCGGGCCGGCCCTCATTAATTAAAATTAAATAAAATGGTGCTGATAACACTAAGGTCAAGGGTTCCGATCCTCTTACCAGCCAGCTGTCAAAAAATAAACAGATAAATTGATTTAATTTAATTTAATTTAAAATGTAGCTCATCAGTCACACTAGCCATATTTCAAGTGCTCACCGGTTACATGTAGCCAGTGGCTACCTATATAGGACAGTGCAGATGTAGAATGTTTTCATCAGCACAGAAAGTTCTATTGGACAGCCCTGCTCTAGAATGATCTGTGTGCCTGAGGCTACAGAAGGTCTCACAGTAGAATCAGGACACTATTGGTAATTGCTTAGGCTCCAACAAGATAAGAATACAAGAAGTTGACTCTAGCTACCAAGAAAAAAAAAACAAAAGACAAGTTGATTCTGCTCACTTTAACTATATTATTGATAAATCAAAACTACTGTTCATTTATAGTAAATAGCTGGCCTCTTAAATTTCTCAAAATGGACTTCTAAAAAAATGTTTAAAATTTATTTTTTATTTTTAAATTGAAGTATGATTGATTACACATATTTTGGGGGGCACATTGACTACCATCACCTGTGTATAACATGCGTTGACTGAATCAATGTTATTAGCATGCTCATTATTACAAATCATAATTATTATTTATGCCCCTTAACCCAGTCCTTCCCCACTGCCCTCTCCCTCCCCACCTCCCACTTCTAGTATCCAGAGATTTGTTCTCTCCTTCTGAAGGATCAATGTATTATTGTGGTCTTTTCTTTTTCTTTCCTCCCTCCCTACCCCCCCCCCCCCCTTAGGAATGAGAAAATGTGGTATTTCTCTTTCTGTGTCTGGCTTATTTCACTTAACATAATTTTCTCCAAGCTCATCCATGTAGCTGCAAATGGCAAATTTCGTTCTTTTTTATGATTGAGTAGTATTCCATTGTGTGTATATACCACAATTTCCTTATCCAGTCATCTGTCAATGGACATTTAAGTTGGTTCCATATTTTGGCTATTGTAAATAGAGCTACGGTGAACATGGGAGTACAGGTATCCCTTCAACATGATGTTTTCCATTCCTTTGGGTATACCCAGAAGTGGGATTGCTGGATCATATGGTAGTCCTATGTGTAGTTGTTTCAGAAACCTACATACTGTTTTCCATAATGGCTGTACTAATTTACAGTCCCACCAACAGTGTAGGAGGATTCCCCTTTCTCCACATCGTCACCAGCATTTGTTATTCTCGGTCTTTTTAGATACTGATCAGTCTAATTGGGGTGAAATACATCTCAGTGTGGTTCTGATTTGCATTTCCCTCATGATTAGTGATATTAAACATTTTTTCATATGCCTGTTGGCCATTTGTATGTCTTCCTTTGGAACATGTCTTTGAAAGATCTGTCTTAACTGACACATATTGTCACTCATTGGATCTACCTCCATCTTCTCTGTTTCTTCACTTCTTTCTCTGATTCCCTCACTGCTTTAGAGTCAATTTACATAATCATAGAATTAAAGCTGGAAGAGCTCAAAGAGTTAATCTAATTCAATGCTTCTTTTTTTTTTTTTTTTTTTTTTTTTTTGTCTTTTTCCATATCCAGCAACGGATCGCAACCCTCAGTGTCACCCCCGCACCGGACTGGGGCCGGCAACGGGATCGCAGCGCTCGGTGTTGCTCCCGCGCCTCGCTCAGCCAGGGAGCGGGAACCAGTCTGTATGTGGGACCCGAACCCTCAGCAGGAGCGCCGCCGCACTTCCCAAGCGGTGCACTGTAGCAGTGCGCCACCAGGCCGGCCCCGAATTCAATGCTTCTTTTTTTTTTTTTTTGTCTTTTTCCATATCCAGCAACGGATCGCAACCCTCAGTGTCACCCCCGCACCGGACTGGGGCCGGCAACGGGATCGCAGCGCTCGGTGTTGCTCCCGCGCCTCGCTCAGCCAGGGAGCGGGAACCAGTCTGTATGTGGGACCCGAACCCTCAGCAGGAGCGCCGCCGCACTTCCCAAGCGGTGCACTGTAGCAGTGCGCCACCAGGCCGGCCCCGAATTCAATGCTTCTTAAACTTGAATCTCAGTCGGCTTGTGACTGCTTGTGATAATTTGTTTTATTTGTCAACTTGACTGGGCCATAGAGTGCCCAGATATTTGGCCAAACATTATTCTGGGTGTTTCTGTGAGAGTATTTTTGGATGAGATTTACATTTGAATCTGTAGACTGACTGCTATAGATTGGAAGCTCCCCCCCTCCCAACCTCATTGAAGCTTAAATCCCCACTGTAACTGTTGAGAGTGGGAAATATGGTAACTGAAAAGTGGGACCTTGATGAAGTGATTAGATTGTAGGACCATGCCGTAGTGAATGATTAATAAGGTGGTCAGAGGCATGGTTCTGAGGGCTTTAAAAGAACACATAAGAGGTTAGTCTTTCTTCACTCTGCCATTTTCTGCCACGTGAGACCCCTGTGTCACTGTTGCCCCCACCAAGGCCTTCACCAAATGAATTCCCTGGACTTTGGACTTCCCAGCCTCTGAAACTATAAGCAGTAAATTTCATTTTCTTACAGATTACCCAGTTCCAGGTATTTTGTTATAAGCAACAGAAACAGACTAATATATCAAGTAAAGCAGACTGCCTTTCTAATATTGGTGGTCTTCGTCCAATCAGTTGAAGGCCTCAATAGAACAAAAAGGCTGACCTTTCTGTGAGAATCTCCTGCCTGCTTATCTTTGAAATGAGATATTGTTTTTTTTCCTGCCTTTGGATTTGAATTGAAACACCAGCTCTTCCTGGGTCTTGAGCCTGTTCGCCTTGGTATAGGACTATTATTACCATCTGTTCTGGTTCTCAGGCCTTCAGACTTAGACTGGAACAAAACCATCAGCTCTCCTGGGTCTTCAGCTTGCTGACTCACCCTGCAGATCTCAGTTCTTCCCCCCCCATAATATTATGAGTCAATTCCTTATAATAAATCAATTTACCTATATGTACATGCACACACTCTATTGGTTTCTTTGAAGAACCCTGACTGATATACTGCTTTAATCAATAAAGTGTGGCAGAAGCGACTCTGTGATTTCCAAGGCTAGATCATAAACAGTCATGCAGCTTCTATGCCGTGCTCTGAGAAGCCCAAACCATACACATATTCCTCTTCCTTCTAATGGAAGCAACAGGTTCTTTTCTGCCTAAACCATAGTGGTTTGTATCTCACACACTGAATGGGACTAAGTTCCTCTCTATGGCTGTGTATTGGTTAAGAGTACAGGTCTAGATGTAAATTGCTTGGGTTCAAATCCCAGATCTGTCATTTATTATCTTTCTAAACTTGAGCAAGGAACTTCACTTCTTTGAGCCTCAATTTCCTTGTCTATAAAATGGAGATAGCAATACTAACCTCATAGGGTTATTGCAAGGATTCAGTGATATACTTAATACCTGGAAAGGACCCATTTTTTATTAGCTATTATTAGTGTTTTCTGGCCACAGCTGATCAGACCAGGGGTTGGTGCCAGGGCAACCATCAGTGGGCTGGGTATTAGGGAAGAAACTGCCTCCTGAGGGTTGGTATTAATTTTACCCAACAGGGTATATACACTGTGCCCAGCTGTTTTACACAGGTCCTACCAAATGTTCTCTTTGGGAAGTAAGAATGCACAGTGAACAAAGCAGAGGCAGGTCCCTTCACCTCCAACTGACTCAGAAGAAATTCAGTGGTTCCCTTGATCAACACACCATGGTCTTGGTGTCAAGAAACCTGGAACCCAGGAGAGCATATATTATGATGTCCAGTGCCACCCCAAGCCCAAGGTACCTCTGCAAGAAACAAAGATTATCTGTGGGAATCTTTTTTTCATAATATATCTTAGCCTGGCCAATATAAGAGGCTGTACATCAACAAAGGCCTGTCTTACTGAAAGAAGAGACGGAAACTGGAAGAAAGAAGATGCAGTTCTACCAACCTGGGCATCCTGTCTCATGAGAGCATCATCCAGATAATTTCCTTCATCTCTGCCACCCTGAGGATGAGAAAAACAAACTGAAGATTTGGGGAGCACTGTTAAGACAGAAGGCTTGGCAACTCAAGGATAAGGTAATTAGACAAAATGCCACAATGGGTGAGGCTTTGGACCTAGGGAGGGAGGACAGATGTCCTCTGAATGTGCTTGCTTTATTACCGTGGCTCTGAGCTGTGCCTAGAGAACATTACCAACCAGAGGGAGAGCCACGCTGTGGCCCCTCATGTTGCACAGGTGTCTCTGCCAGTGGAAGGGGAAGGGATTGAATGCTTCTTGTTGACTGTTCCCTCCAGTATCTCCACCTCTTCCGCACCTCCCCCTGCTCCTTGTATCTTCCCAGCTGCCTCATGCCTTCCTAACTGGCAAATCTACATTGATCAATTTCTACGAAAAAGGGTCTGGGAACAGGAGAGAGTTGAGAGAATCTGGGAGCTGCAGCAGTGGGACTCAAGGACCACATCAAAATGCCTCCACCCTTCACCAATGCCAGCTCACAGGAGGGCAGGGTTGAAGCCTTGGAGGAAGGCTAGAAAGCAACAATGCAGGCTACTTTCCTCTAGTTTGTTAGGCTATTTGTACTGCTGTGCTGCCTCGATAGTCTGTGGAGAAGGCATGGCTCGTCAGTGATAAATATGGGAGGAAAAGAAAACAGGGGAAGGAGATAAGAGAAATAGGCAGGCATTATTAAATAAACATCAGAGACGAGAGGGAGGTGGGAGTTGGAGATGATTTCCAGGGGTCTGTTTTGAGTGTCGGAAGAACAGCAACAATATTAACAGAAACAGGCAAGTCAGGAAGAAGAGCTGGTTTGGAGGGAGAATGAGTGCAGGTTTAGTTTAGGAGGGCTGATTTGAGGTGATGGTAGAATATCCATAAGGAAACATCCAAAAAGCAGTGAGAAACGAGAGTCTAACACTCAGGAAGCAAGTCAGGGATAAAGATAAAGTTGGGAACTCATGTGAAATATCTTGAGTGTCCACCTTCTCTTTACTGGCATCCCTGCTCCCACCCTAGCCCAGTCCTGCTCTATTTTCCATCTGGAATATGAGGTAACTTCCTACCTGTTCTCCCAGCCTCCAGTTCCCCGCCGCTGCTGCTACACATCATTATTGCATAATCATTCTTCTGAAAATGCAGTTCATCAGTATCACTCTCATCATCATCATCATCCTGTCATCAACTGTCTCAAATCCTTGGCAGCTCCCTACTGCTCTCCAAATAAAGCGTAAACTCCCCCAACATAGAATTCCAGTTCATCCTTCTACTTTGCTTCTGGAATTACCAGCCTGGCCGTTCAGCCAGTTGTTCCCTGAACACTCCCTGTGTTTCCTGCCTGGAACGCACCCACCTGCATCTCTGCCTCTTGAAATCCTAGTGATCCTCCAAGTCCTCTCTGAACCAGCATCTCCGCCATGAAGGCTTTTCTTTGTTTCTGCAACCAAGATTTCTCCTTAAATGTTCTTTACTACATTCCTTAATCTTTTCATCCCTTACAGCAACCTGTGTTCCTGATATATTCCCTTATGACAATTTAAACTCTTAAAGCACAGAAACTGCCTCTTAATCATGTTCCTAACTCAGTGCACTGAGTAATAGGGACTCCTGGCATGTATTAGGTACTTATAAATACTGATTTCAAGTAGAACCAGGTGGACATACATGACTAGCCAGAGTCTCTGCAGGAAAAATAAGATAAAAGAACAGAGAGGCCCAAGAACAAGACATGGGGAATATCCATATTTGGGGAGCTGAAAGGATGAGAAAGGCTGGTAAAGGGGCTAGAGAGAGAGCATTTCAATAAAACCCACCCCCCACCAGAAGCAGCTGACAAAGGCAGTGACTCACAGCTGACAGGGACACCAGCACTCGCTGGAACATGAATGACGTGTCAGAACAAATGTCATCTTCAAGGCTCCGTCCGTATTCTAGCAAGAGAGTGAAATTAGCCACATCAGAATAAAAAGTCCTGCCTGATACATGACATACTCCAGAGCGTTCTGACCCCTCCAAGACCAGACTGTTTGCCAAAGCAGTTCGTGAGGTATTTCACACTACACACAGTTTTTCAAAAACTAAACTCTGATGAAATGCTAAAAGTTTATCTTGTCATTATAGTGGAAACAAGATATTACTGTTCCTTAAAATGGGAGGGTGGAGAAGGCTGGGGCTGAGATCCTCCCTCTGTGAAACACTGTCCAGGGGTCTGTTCTGAACATAGTTTTCAGTGATGCAGAAAACAACAGCTATTAAATGGCTACGGCTGAGTCACAGATAGAAGATAACCAGAGCAGAGCTTCTGCACCATGTTTGGGGGCAAATGGAAGGGGATGTCAAGCACAAATCCTAACTTGGGCTTTTTCTACCACATCTCTCACTGGAGAGGTTCTGAGAGGTTACCCAAGAGAAGCTTCACAGCCCTCAGGGGAGAAAACCTGCACTGTGTAGACGTGGGGATCTGGGTGCTAAACCCAAACTCCCGAAGTTTGGAATCTCCTGCTTTGAACACTCACCAGAAAGCTCTTATTGTGTTATTTTCTTTCTAAAAAAGTAATACATGTTGACTAGAAAACTTGGGAACAAACAAATCAAATGAAGAGGGAACACTATAATCTGATCACCCATAAATAATAATCATTAATAACATTTTGGTGCGTATCTTTCCACATTTTGCCCCATGTACACATATTATTTTTCTTTCTTTAAAAATGAGATCAGGGCTAGCCGGTTAGCTCAGTTGGTTGCAGCATCACTATAATCTGATCACCCATAAATAATAATCATTAATAACATTTTGGTGCGTATCTTTCCATATTTTGCCCCATGTACACATATTATTTTTCTTTCTTTAAAAATGAGATCAGGGCTAGCCGGTTAGCTCAGTTGGTTGCAGCATGGTGCTGATAAACACCAAGGTCAAGGGTTCGCATCCCAGTAATGGCCAGCCACCAAAATAAGTGAGATGATAGCATACTGTTCACTTATTTTTTAAGACTAGTCAGGTACAGTAGTGAGAAGGGAAGAAGGACTAGAGCAAGGAGTTCAATTTGTAACTGACTGTGTTAACTCTACCCTCAGACCAGCGCACGTTATCTTATGACTTGTCTTTTTCACTTTATATATACCACACAATTTAATTTGACTTAATATTTTTCAATATAAGTTTTAATGACTACACAATAGTTCGCTGTGTGACTGTACCATATTTTGTTTAGCCAAACTGCTACTGTTGGATGTTTTTAGCTAATATAAATAATACTGAATAAACAATGTGGGATCTAAACCTCTAGGCTTTTTTTTGTTATATTCTTAGGGCAAAAAGGCATGCATTTTAAAAAAGATTCCTCATACATATCGTCCTCTAAAGGTTTCTAAGAGGGAAGTAAATGGCTGTCATTCTGAGATGGCTGGAGGATATACAGCCCAGTCTAGAGGCTCAAAGAATCTCCTTTGATTCTTTGCTTGATAATAAGGAACAACTTTCTAAATCTCTGAACTGGGTAGCCTAAGTAGAGTGGTGCCTTCCCCTGAAAAGTCTTAAGAAGCAGTCATTTGCCTAGATAGGCATCTGCCTCAAAGCAGAGCTTGCCACTGAGGATTCCTCAGGGTCAGTGTTTCTATGAAGAGAGTGTAACCTGTGGATAACCACCCGCTGCTAGTCTCGTTCTCAAATCACAGTGAAACCTCAGCCAGGGCTACTGAGGATGTTACATACGCTGCTGGTAGGTCTGATTTATGCGCCGGATCTCCTCGGGGGTCCGGGAGGCCAGGATCTCAATCAGGCAGCCCTCATCTGTGCCCGCTCCCTAAACACAAAACCAGAGAAGATGGATGATATGAGCCACTTACCAAGTTGAGTCCCAGACACAGAAGGAATACAGCTATGAGTCTGAAGAGAGTAAAGACAATCTGCAGGCTTCTAGCAACAGGACTTGTTAACTTTTAACTGTCCTGCCCCAAACCTGATGTGTTTACTGTAAATTATTAGTAATAACCAACATTTCTAAACTGTTTACTGTGTTGGTTATTGTGCCGGGTTAGGCACAGTTTCTGCCCTCTGGGGGCTTCGTCTTTCCCTGACCTCCTCTGAAGGGCAGAATCTTCTGGCAAAGACTTTGTTACCTCTTTGCTTTCTGAGAGCCTAGCCCAGAACCCTCCATAAGGATGAGTACTGCCATGGTTGAGTAGGGTAATTGTATTCACATTTCCATACCTGGTCATTAAAAATCGGCAGGCCCCAGCTAGAGCACAGTGGATTGGTCATCTAGAGAGGCCGAGAACCCTTTTGCCAGTTCTAAGTCTACAGCAGAGCTAGTGGCCCCCAAGTTGTCAGTCATAAAGATATGTATCTCAAAAGTAGCTAACACGACAAGGAAGTTTCTGGAACTGCACCAAAAGCATAACTGTAATCACTCCCTGTTGAGCCACCGGAAGGAGCAAATGATTCCGTAACTTCTTGGAAAACAATTTTTAAATTACAGCTGCAATAATGTAATGTTTTCAAGTTGTCATAAATGAAGGAAAATGTTTCTCCTATACTTTACCCACTCTCGGAATGTTTGTCACAGTTTCTCGAGAAAGCGCATCAGTATTTGCACTAACAGCAGGGAGAGTGTGAAGGAGGAGCACGAACCTTCATGGCCCTTCGCAGCTCCTGCACATCGTACAGCACAGTGGGCGTCATCATCCCCAGGATCACCTGCTCGAAGTTGCCACTCAGTTCTGACTTCAAGTCGTCTATCAGGTCCTGCAAGGCAAGAAACCTGCTCTGCATACCTGCTACAGTAACTCACACCAGCCACTCTCCAAGTGTGGTCCGGGGAGGGCTGGGGTCCCTAAGACCCTTTCAGGGAGCTGGCAAGGTCAAAACTATCTTCCTAATAACATTAAAATATTTTCTGCCTTTTCTTTCTTTCTTTCTTTTTTTTTTTTTAAAAAAAAGATGACCGGTAAGGGGATCTTAACCCTTGACTTGGTGTTGTCAGCACCACACTCTCCCAAGTGAGCGAACCAGCCATCCCTATATAAGGAACCAAACCTGTGGCCTTGGTGTTATCAGCACCACACTCTCCGGAGTGAGCCAAAGGCCAGCTCTCATCTTCTGCCTTTTCAACAGTCGTTCTCTCACAAGTATACAGTGGAGTTTTCCTAAAGTTACTTGACATATCTGCATATCTGCAATTATGTCAAGAAGTTATTAAAATACTCATCCCTCTCCCAACTACATATCTGTACAAGACCAGATTTTCTTCATATAACAACCAAAACCACATATCACACCAAATCGAATGCAGAAGCAGATATGAGAATCCAGCTGTCTTACATTTAGCCAGACATTAAAGAGATTTGAAAAATGTAAAACAATGCCAATCTTCTAACTTTTTTTGTGTTTTGGAATATATAGCTATTTTTCATAAAATATCTATAGTAATATTTAATATATTTATTATTATTTTTTTTTCCTTTTTGTCTTTTTTTTACTGACTGGTAACGGGATTGCAACCCTTGGTGTCGCGCCCGTACTGGGGACCGGCAACGGGATCGCAACCCTCGTTGTTGCGCCCGCTCTGCGCTCAGCCAGTGAGCGGGAACCGGTCTCCGCATGGGATCCGAACCCTCAGCGGGAGCGCCGCCGCACTCCCAAGCGGCGCACTCTCCAGTGCGCCACCGGGCCGGCCCAGCATTTATTATTTTTAATAAATTACCAAATATGTATTTTTAAATGTCCTCAGTTTAATTTCTAATAGGTATAACCCACAAAAACAAAAAGGTCTTCAGTAATTTAAGATTATAAAGGGGCCTCACAATCAAAACTTTTATAAACACTGACTTAATTGTATTGCTTAACAATATATCCTGAATATACTGCCAAGTCAAAATTCACCTATGACATTTTTAACAGCTGCACAGATTTCTATATATAGATACAATATAATTCCTTCGACCAGTCTCCTGTTTCTATTCTTCTACATAGTACATTTAGTTTATCTTTGTGGTCATTCATGATTACTTCTTAAGGCTCAGTTCCTACATAGAAATGTAATTATTTGGACAAAGAACCAAATTCTAAATACATTTATTCACATTTCCTTTAAGAACCTGCTTAATAGCAACTAACTAATAAGGAGCTAATTCAAATCCAGATCTCTAATTCTCACAAACCTGATTCCACGACACTTTATTTTAATCTATTGTGTATATTTTTGTTATATTCATTCATACATATTGAGTGAAAGAATGAACAAGTTAATGCTCAATTGTTAATATTAACAAACTACCATTAGATTAGCTGAGTTCTGAAGTTGAGTATCAACCCCAAATGCATGTGGCAACACCACTTAAGTCTCTAGTATACACATACATGCCTATTTGTGCTCATTAAATTTCCTTGGGCATGGAGGAGAGTTTCAATGTCCAGCAAACAGAGCAATTCTGATCAGAGGAATCCCATTCCTTCCTGAGTGCAGTCAAGATCTGCCTGTGGATGCCCTGGGGAACAGCTGAGCCAACCCTGCCCCACTCAGCAATTTAGTGCTGTTTTTGGGAAGCAGCCTCAGTCTGACTGTAAAGTATCTAGAGGACAGGAACACTTATAGAGTTACTGTACTCTGAGACCTGGAGACACTCCCTGTTAATGTTTCCTCAATAAAAAGGTTCTCAGTAACCACACAGATGGGTTTTCAGTGATGTGAAAAGACTGGGTGGAATGAGTCTGATAAATGAGTCATTGAAAATGGAGGCAAAAGAAAGAGTTCCTGAGTGGTGTGAGACTCAAACCAAAAGGGGAAACATGGTGACTGAATAACCTCTGAATGCATAAGCTACCAAAATATGTACACAGAGTGGGGCTGGCCGGTTAGCTAGATAACACCAAGGTCCAGGGTTCAATCCCTGTACAAACCAGCCACCAAAACAAATAAACAAACAAAAGACAATGTACAAATGCACAAGCACATAAAGCCCCATTCTAGAATTTGAGGGGGTGTCCTTCAATTGAGGATCATCAAAAGAATGGATATATGCTACAAATGGAGTTGGAATAGACCTTAAATCCTAGGAGAGCCTACTTAAAACATACTGGATTTAAATATTTTAGTTACTTTGGAGAGTCTTTGTCCACAGTGGCCTACAAGAAGCCATCAGGGCAAGGGAAGCAGCTCTGGATGCTCAGCCTTCCTTGGTGCTCAAAAGAGACGCGGTTGAGCCCATACAACAACCAAGGCCCTGCAAAGACTTGGTTGGGAAGGGACCAAGCTTGGCCTTGAGGGTTGTGAATCAAGAGCTCGCTGGAGGCTCTTCTGGATAAGTGTAGCAGAGGAAACATATATTGAAACCATTTTGTTTGTTTTCAAGGATATCTTTAAACTAGACAAAGGATCCATCTTTCAAAACCCAGGACCACTTCAAGAATCTAAACAAGAAAGAGGCCCTGCTTCCTGTTGCCTGACAAGTCACCCGCACAGAGCAGCAGAGGCTGAGGCCTACCCTGCCAATGGTGGTCTTGTAGGCCGTCCTGATCTCCTGGCGCTGGGCAGTGTTGCGGTAGGCGAGGACTCTAATAATGGCGTCTTCATCGGTGCCTGGGGGGAAGTGGAGACAGTGAGTGACTGTGATTTGAGAGTAATGAGAAAGTGGGTTCCTGTGGGGACACTGGAGTTACCCAAACAAATGCAGAGAGCTTTCTAAGAAAAGAGGTCCCGTTCCGAGGGTTTGTCTATTTTACTGGGAAACAGAGGCTCGATTCGTCTTAACCTCTCCCTTAATTAGCTGTTTACCACTCAACAAAATAGTTACCTTCTCTAAGCATTAGTTTCCTTATCTATAAATGTGAATGATCATAGTATTGTCCTGCTCCAAGTGTTAAATAAAATAATTAAGTGCCCAGCACTTACTAAATGTTTTTTAAAAAGTTTCTTCCCCTTGTCTGGAATTCTTATTATGTCTTTTGGATCTCCTAGATCTGTCTTCCACTTTCTTGCCTTTTCTCTCCTCGTTTTTATCTCTTTGTCATTTCCTCTGAGATTTGAAACAACTCAAACTTGTCTTTTAATTCACTGATTTGGCATTTTGCAGTTTAAATCAGCTACTTGCTGCACTTTGTTTTTAAAACCTATAATTGTGTTTTTCATTTCTAAGCTGTCTTTCCCAGTCTCAAATGGTTCGATTTTTATAACTGCCAACAAATTCCCATGATACAACAGCCTACCAAACTTTTAATCATGAATTACAAATCAGAAATGTCCTAAATGTTACTTGCCTATTTCTGGCAGCAGCTACTACTAAGGGACTTTATTCTGATTTTTCCAGTTGGCCCCTTATCTTTATAACAGCTGGATGTTCATGTATGTTGGGTGAGTTTTCTGATTCCTCACTGTTTACGCTATCTGGGGAGTTGTGATGGGCTACAGAAATGATTCTATGGAAATATTTCAGGGAGAAATGAAAAAAACATAGGTTCACCACAGTTATTCTTTGCAACATTAGAGATCCAGAAAAGTGTGAGGAGTAAGGAGGAAGCTACAGAACTTTAAGTTGACATACCTTAGGGACCTACTTTCTGTTCTTGTAAAAAAGGGGGGGAAGGGGTGACAGAATCACCCTTTTTTCCTTCAGAGCTCTCAGCTGGGGGGAGAAGGCCAGTGCCTTTTGCTCGCCCACCATTTATGTGGAAGGCGCCACCCTTCCTCTAGTCGGCCAAGACTGAGCCCTCAAAATAGCTTTGATTTTTTTTATCCTTTCCCTTCCTCCACATTCAAATTTCCTGCCAAGGCATGCAAAATCTTGCTCTACAACCTTATTTTCATTTGTCCCCTCTTTTTAATTCCTACCCCTACCATTACAATTCAGGATGTCAGGGTCTCTTAGATAACTGCAAAAGCCTGTTAACTAGTATTCTTACCTCCTAATTTATCTTCCCAGAGTCTTGCCAGATTCATTTTCCTAAAAAGAAAAACTCTCACAATGTCCCTCCCCTGCTCAGAAGTACACAGTGGTTCCCCATCATCTGCTGGATTTACTATAGGCGCTAGTCTGGCATTTGAGATTCTACATTAACCTATTCACTTTTATAAATATCCACATAAAAGGATACCAGGCGGCCAAATTCTCAGACTTCGCTCTTGAATGATTGTACTTTACCCGACCGTACTATACCCCATTCTCCTGACCACCTTCATCACTATCTACTGGTTATATGCCTCCCTAACCCCCTCCATTTAGCATCATGATTCTGGCATTTCTTGTTCACTGGCCAATGCCTTTGGGCCATCCCTCTGTAGAAGACTCATATAGCAAATGTACCTCGCTGGGCCTGGTTTTCTAAAGCCTTACAGTTTCAAATATTGACCTTGCAAAGGACAGGAAATTTCCCCCAGAGCATTGAGTCTCCTCTGTTGCAAGATAAGAATCGTAACACAGCAAGGCTGCTGGTTCTAAGACAGACAAGTTACTAATTGATATGTAAAGTTACTAAAAAGTTGCTAGAGGGAAAAGAAATGTTGGCTAAATCAAGCCTTTGTTAGTGGATCACTTAATTGCCTAACAGAATGTCATCTGACTTGTTTTTACTGAATGTTACCAGCTTCTACTGTAAAACTTGTTAAACTGTACTTAGCAAAACCTCACCTATGTCTCTGTAACTTCCTGGTCTGGAGAATAAATGCAGGAAGAGAACCCCAATTCGTGGTTAATTTCCCAAATGGAAGGAATGCCTCTATCTTGAGGGTTCTGGGAGATTAACCCCTTTCTGGGACTTCTCACTGCTTAGAGATGGGCTTTGAGTAATCTTTGGCGGCTCTGTCACCCAGGGGAAGAGGGGTGACAACCCTGTGGGAGGCAAAGCAACATCCCTCCATGTCTTTGATCCTATAGGTGGCTTTCTCAGTAGCACCCCCAGGACCACCCTTTGGTACTTGTCTTCTCAGAAAGCTCCCAACCAGCCTACTCCAAGGACCTCCTGCTGCAAGCCACCTTTCCATTTATCCACTGTGACTTCCCTAGGCCCTCAGCTCATGCTATTCCACTCATGTGAAACACACTTTTAGCTCTGTTTATTGAAACTCATCTCCCAAGACTCAAGTTCTACATCTTCCATGAAATTTTGCCTGATGCCCCCAAATGAAATGTGATCTCCTCTCTTTCAACCCCAATGGGATCTTATTTGTGCCCCTCCTATCGCTATCATGTTATGAACTGATCATAGGTATTTCTGTGCATATCTTAGCCATGCTAGCAGCCATGAATTATTTAATCACAAGGACAAGGTTCTATTGTCCTCGTCTCCTCCAACAGTCTGCCTGTGCATGTAGACCCATCCATAGCAGGCATGAACAAGGGTTGATTGTGCCAAATGTCTCTTGACTCTCTTTTTGAGAATTCTGAATGCCATGTGTTCCACACTCTTAATTATACTGTCCTTGTGATATACCAAGAATTAGGACAAACCTGAATAAAAAAAATGGTGGGCCCAGTATTTTTTATTTATTTATAAAATATAAAATATTATATTTATTTATAAAATATCTTTTATTTATGAAAAAGGGAAAATGAGGAGAAAGACACATAGATTCAGGACAGTGTTCTGTTCAGGGGTGGGCAGCAGGGTAGCACAGTGATTTAACTTCCAGCCCTGGAGTAAGATGCCTGGGACCGACTACCTAGAATTGCTTAGAATCCTGACTCTACCACGTATTAGTTATGAGACTTTCAGCAAGTTAGCTAACCTCCCTAGATCTCAGCTTCTCATGAGAAAAACAAGCTGCTGTCAGGATTAAAACAGATAATCCATGTAAAGCATCCATCTTTATGCCTGACCTATAAAGCAGAATTTAATAAACATTTGCTGTTACTATTGTTACTGTTGGCATTGAAGCTAAGTAAAATGTACTCTTCTTGATAGAAAGACCGGGAAATAAGGTCTCATGGGTAAAGCATCCATCTTTATGCCTGACCTATAAAGCAGAATTTAATAAACATTTGCTGTTACTGTTGTTACTGTTGGCATTGAAGCTAAGTAAAATGTACTCTTCTTGATAGAAAGACCGGGAAATAAGGTCTCATGGTCAAGTGTTTTTACCCAAACCTCAAGGAGTTTTAATTGCACCTAAGAAGCAGGGGACACTTCCCTGGCCAGAAGTCCACACAGGCAAGGTCTTGGAGGTAGGGACTGGGCCAGGGTAGCCTGCAGTGCATCCCATATGACTGACCACCCAGCATGAGCTCTTTGTCCTCAGGGAGCTAACTGGAGGGTAGTGCACTAGAAGACACTACTAGCCTTCTCACATAAAATTCTATACACTGCATGTCGGTGCTGTCGCAGCTGTGCCTGTCACCACAGCAACAAGCAGAGGGACTCAAGGGAAAGACCGTGGACTTAGAGCTGGCAGGCCTGAGCTCGAGACCAGGTTCTGCCAAGTGTGAGCCATGACTCAGTTACACTTACTACGTGACTTTGGGAGAATTACTTGGCATCTCTGGGTCTCAGTTTCACATCTGTAAAGTGGGGCTAAAAAAACAATAGTAATAGTTGCTTTAACTAAATCACAGGGTTGTTGCATATACCCAATGAGATAGTGTTTGTGAAAGCTTTGTAAACCTTATGGCATTATACACATACCAGCACTAATTAGAAAACACATAACTTTGTAAAGTCTTACATATAGATTCATAATGTTGTAATTCAAAGCAGATTTAAACAATTGGGGAAATCCATAATGAGTGCATTAAATTTGAAATTCTTTATTAAAGGGAAGAATTAATGCCCCCTTACCCCCATCCAATTTGTCTTGAAAAGCCAACTTGTTCCCATTGTGTTTTCTTAAAGGGAGACCTACTCACAATTGCCCATGGGCATGCCACCTTCCGTGTGACTCAGTGATGCACAATGCATGAGGGAGGATTCATCTCCTGTGGGACACTTACCGAGCCCTTTCATGGCCTTCCTCAGGCTCTGGGCATCTTCAGCAGCGTTGAATCCTGAAGAAGCTTTGATGGTACCTCCTTTGGTTGCCTGAGTACACAGAGAATCATGTGACTGAGAGGTAGCACCTTACCAACATGAAGGCATCCCATTCAGCAAACATTTGCTGAGCACCTCCCATGGCCCAGACACTATTCCAGGCGGTGGGGACACAGCTGTAACCATGAAAATTGAGGCTACTGCTCCCAGGGAGCTGATGCTCTAGTTCAGGGGACGCTGACAGTAAACAAGCCAGGAAATAAATATTCTATATAGTGCCTGGTGGTGAGAAGTGCTACAAAGCAGACAGAGATGTCCCAGAGGGGCCACTCTGAGGAATGATGTTTAGGCTGACAGCTGAATGACGTGGAACAGCTGACCATACAAAGATGGAAGGAAAGTGTTACAGTAAGAAGAAACAGCTACTACAAAGGCCCTGAGGCTGGAACTAGCTCCTAAGGAGAGCAGGACAGAGGCCAGTGTGGCTCAAGGACAAGGATGGGATGGGTAAGCTTAGTTACACCACCACCTGGTAATCTTGTCCCCCCGAAAAGGAAACAAATCAAACCTGAATCCAATCTAGTCTCTAGAGCCAAAAACCAATTTACAGTAAACAGAAGAGAGAGTAAAATGTTAAACCACAGCAGAGGGTTGCAATCAGTGAAATCCAGACTAAGAAACACTGCTTAAATGATCTAGCTCCTTCAGCCAATAAATTGCAAAGGCCATTAAAAGAGAAAGAGATGGAGGGGAACTATAGTTTAAAAGATTAAAAAGACATATCAATAATCATAGTGTGTGAACCTTATTTAGATCCTGAAACAAACAGTTAAAAAAAAAAAAAGACATTTATGAGATAACTGGAAATTTGAACACTGACTTGATATTTGATGACATTAAGGAATTAGCCTTTAACATTTTTAGGTATGATAATATTATGGTTATATTTTATTTTATTTTATTTTTTATTTATTTATTTTATTTTTTTATTTTTATTTTTATTTTTTGTCTTTTGTCTTTTGTCTTTTTCCGTGTCCGGCAACGGATCGCAACCCTCAGTGTTGCCCCCGTACCGGACCGGGGACCGGCAACGGGACTGCAACCTTCGGCGTCGCTCCCGCGCCTCGCTCAGCCAGTGAGCGGGAACCGGTCTGTATGTGGGATCCGAACCCTCGGGCGGGAGCGCCGCCGTGCTTCCCAAGCGGCGCACTATCCAGTACGCCACCGGGCCGGCCCTATATTTTATTTTTTAAGAGGTTTAATCTATGTACTGAAATAGTTTACAGAAGAAATGATAAGATGTCTGGAATTTGTGGGGTTAAGTAGAGATACAGAGAAACAAGGTTGACCATGAGTTAATAAGTATTGATAGGTACAGAAAGGGGTTCTGTTTACTTTTGTATATGTTTAAACTTTTCTGTAATCAAAATTTAAAAAGAAAAAAAAAGAAAATCAGAGAGGCAGGCTGGAGCCAGAACAAGGCAGCCCTTCCAAGCGGGATAAGGAATTTGTATTTTATTGTAAATTCAGTAGGAAGCTACTGACAGGTTTTAAACAAGGAGATGGGGACATGTGATCTGGTTTACATATTAAAAAGTTCACTCGGGCTGCTGTAGGGAGATGCAGAGAACAGCTGAGAGTCTAGGCCAAGATCTGGGGGTGGGATATGATGCTAGACCAGGGTGAAATAGTTAAGATGGAAATAAACAGACAGACTCAGCACATGTTTTGGAGCAAAGGCGACAGAACTTGCTGATGGACGGACGTGGGAGGTGAGAAAAGAAAGGAATCAAGTTTAACTCTGAATCTTTTTCCCTCAGCGGCTGGGGAGAGAGTGGCGTCATTTACCCAGATGGGGAAAACTGGAGGAGGATTACTAGATTTGGAGTCGCAGTGGGGGATGGGATTTAGAAGTTCTGTTTTCAAAATGTTAGGTTTGGGATGTCCATTAAACATCCAAATGGAGCTGTCAAAAGGACAGCTGGTTATACAGTATAAGTCTTGAGGTCAAGTCCAGAGGAATACATTTAGGACACATCAGAATTTGGGTGACATTTGAAGAGATGACCCAGGGAGGAAGTGAACAGAAAAACAGGGTCCTAGGACAAGCCTGGGTCTCTCCAGCAGAGAAGGAGAAAGGATGACCAAGGAGCAGTCTTTGAGGTAAAAGGAAATCCAGGATAGTGTGTTGCCAGAGGCTGAGGAAGGAGGGAATGGCTAGTGCCCGCCATAGTGAGAAGCTTAGGGGTGAGGAGCACAGGAACTGCAGAGGGATAGAATCGGGTTTCATTTTTCTCACCTGATATTGGGAATAATGATATCAACTCACAGGGCTGTTGCAATAATGAAACAGGGTAATACAGGAAAGCACTTAGCACAGAACCCAGAAAAAGGTAAACATTAAAACAAAAACTCAAAGTTGATGTTCACCATCGTCATCATTATTGTTAAATAATGTTAACTATTGTTAAATAAATGACTTCACCCATATCGCTGTAATAAATATAATAGTTAGATTCTTGTTTCTATTTCTTATAATATCCCTCAGTGCAAGCCTGTGGAGTAATGCAAAGCAGAATCTAGGATAGAGCATTCATACAAGGTAGCAAAAACAGTGTAGAATAGAGCTAAAGCTTTCTTTCTTTCTTTTTTTTTTTGTCTTTTTTGTGACTGGCCGCTCCGCACGCCGGCCATCCCTATATAGGATCCGAACCCGTGGTAGGAGCACCGCTGCACTCTCCCGAGTGCGCCACGGGGTCAGCCCAGAGAGCTAAAGCTTTCTGATTATTTAATTTGATCCAAGGATGTAATGGGCCATCTCCAGGAATCAAGGATTTTTATACCCTTAGGGCAGTTCTCTAGCAAGCCAGATTTGAGCTCTTTGCACTAAACCACCTTGGCCTGGACCTCTCAGGCCCACTGTAGCACACATCAAGCCCATCCAAGTCCTCAGATACCACAGGATGTGAGCTTACTCTGCTGAAAGACCATCAGCAGCGAGCACTTAGTTGTCACCCTCTATATACCTGACAGAGGAAAGCAGAAATCTATAACATCAACTTTCTTGGATATTGCATCTGTTGAATTGTATCCCCCCAAAAAGATATATTGAAGTCCTAATCCCCAGTACCTCAAGATGTGACCTGATTTGGGAATAGGGTCACTGCAGATGTAATAAATTAAAATGAGGTCATACTGAATTAGGATGGGCCCCTAATTCAGTATGACTGGTGTCCTTAAAAGGAGATGGCTATGTTTTGTGGTTGATTGGTTGGTTGGTTTTTTGGCAGCTGGCCTATATGGGGATCTGAACCCTGGACCTTGGTGTTATTAAAACCACACTCTAACCAACAGAGCTCACTGGCCAGCCCAAGAAGCCAAGGAACACTTAAGATTGCCAGTAAACCACCAGAAGCTAGGACAGGCAAGGAACGACTTCCCTATAGGTTTGAGAGGGAGCATGGCTCTGCTGATACCTTGATTTTGGACTTGCAGCCTCCAGAACAGTGAGGCAATAAATTGCTATTATTTTACAGCCACTCAGTTTGTGGTACTTTGTTATGGCAGCCCTAGGAAACTGATACAGGCACTTTACTTTTCTTCTACTACTAAGCAAACTGGTGACTTGCTGTCAAAATTCCAACGTGACCTAACTCAGCCTTTGGCCCCAGCATGAGACAGCTTTCTGAGTTGAATGCTTTACAAGGTTCTTTTGGAACTCCAGTACTGAAAATTTTTTGGATGGAACACAAACACTGCATTCAAATTTAAAGCAAACTGCATTGCTGAGGGACACTATTATGGGATTAAAATTAATATCTAACAAGATGAATCGATAAAGAGATTTGCAAGGGTGGTTCAGTTTATCAATTATCAATTAGCATTCTTAGTGACTCTTTTTTATCCAGGCAAAAGGTCAAGAAATTTGTTCCTTGTTAGTCCTGTAAGTATCCTATTGATTAAATTCCAGGGCACAATGCACCATTATCCATTCTAAAAAGACAGGGGTTCTAACCCTGGAAGGCTCTTTGTAGCATCAGGCAAAGGAAATAGACAGGATGTGGGGAAGAAACACAAAAATGAGTAGCTAGAAATAGGCACTATATCGCAATTGATAAAATATTATTATTATATTCATAATGAAGATGATAAACATCAAAAAGTTTGGAATATTTGCAGATACAGTTACCATATGATCCAGCAATCCCACTACTGGGTATATATCCAAAGGAATGGAAATCATCATGTCAAAGAGATACCTGCACTCCCATGTTCATCGCAGCTCTATTTATAATAGCCAAAATACAGAACCAACCTAACTGTCCATCGATGGACGATTGGATAAAGAAAATGTGGTATTTATACACAATGGAATTCTACTCAGCCATAAAAGAGAATGGAATTCTGCCATTTGCAACAACATGGATGAGTCTGGAGAAAATTATGTTAAGTGAAATAAGCCAGACAAAGAAACAGAGATACCACATGTTCTCACTCATAACTGGCTGTTAGGAAGGAAGGAAGAGGCCGGCCCGTGGCTCACTCGGTAGAGTGCGGTGCTGGGGGGGGGAAGGAAGGAGGAGGGGGGGAAGGAAGGAATGAAGGAAAGAAAGAAAGAAAAGACCACAATACGTTGAACTTTCAGAAGGAGAGAACAATCCTAGGATACTAGAGATGAGGGGGAAGGAGAGAGGGGATTTGGGAAGTAAAAGGTCAGGCAAAGGGCATAAGAAATATCACAATTTGTAAGAATGATTATAATAATAATAAGTAAAAAAAATTTTTTTAAAGGTTGAAATACAATACAAGGGAATAATAATGAGCAATAAAAAGGAACAGAGGAACAAACTACTGATACATACAACATGGATGAATTACAAAAAAATAAAATGCTTGGAGAAAGAAGTCAGACGTGAAAGAGTACATACTCCACATGATTCCATTTATAGGGTGTTCTAGAACAGGCAAAACGAGCCTATGGTGATATATATCAGAACAGTGGTTGTGCTTCTGGAGTGGTGTGTAGAGCAGGGTGCGCACTGATCTGGAAGGGGGATGAAGGAGCTTCCTGGAGTGATAAAATGCCCTGTCTTGATAGAGGAATAGGTTACATGGGCATATACCTTTGTCAGAACTTATCTGCCAGTAACCTTAAGGGCTGTGCATTTTACTAAATGTAAATTGTACCTCCATAAAAAATGTTTTAAAATACTTGAATATAATGGCATGCAAAACATGGTCATTGTAGACAACTTGGAAAATTAAGAAAAAAAAATTAAGAAAATTAAAACACCCATAACTCCACCATCTACAGTAAATAATTTTAATATGATATAAAAGTAGTATAAACATATTAGCACAGAAATTAGATGAAACATAAGATTAGAGTGAATACATAACTTTTGTATCCTACTTCATTTATAATATTACTCTAAGCATTTTCCTATACTAAGTGGGAAAAAAAAGCAAAACAAAACTTATTTATGCTCTTATTACTGCAATTTAAAAAACATTATACATACGAGAAGGGTCTAAACTTAAAGTAATGAGAAATAGTTGGGAATTGCAATACTGCAACTATATAACATGGTTTTCTTTTCTTTTAAAAATGTCCTTTATCTGCCCAATAAATAACAGTCATCATGGAAAAATAGGTTCTAGGAGAGATGAGAGCAACTGGGGTCACTTTCCTAGAGTAGAAAGCACACCAAGGGGTCACTTGGTTACAGTCTTCACATGTAGGAAAGCTGCGTGCCTGTTGAAGACAGGACTAATATCCCATTAATTTTGAATCTCCAGAGCCTAGTGCCATGTCTGGCACAAAGTAGGGACACCATAAACATTTCTAAATAAATGTTCTCCATGTCCAGGGAGAATCAATCCACAAGAAATGGATTTTAAATGAAAGCGTAAGAGATATGGGGCAGACTTTGACTGCTGGGGATCATGAAGAAAATTCTAGACTGCTTAAGTATAAATAAAGTTAAGAGTATACTACTATTTGTTCATATAGTTTACTTTACACATCCATCTTCCTAAAGGAAGGCATCTAGAGCTGGCAGGATCTCCAATTCCTTTCCGGGTATACGGTTCTACTTCTATTATTCTTCCCAGAAGACCAGGGATCAGAATCACCTGCCAATTCAGAAATCTCATTTGGGTGGGGGAAGGAGAGCAGATGGCCAGCCTTAGGTAGAGCCACGTCTGCAGCCAAGAGGCTCAGCTTCCACCTCAGCGCTCGACTTCACAGAACTCTCAAAGGGATCCGATTCCATGCCTGTCCCTAGGATCAGATAACCAAGTTCCAAGGAGTCCGATCACTGTTGACAGCAGGAGGCAGACGATGCGCCCTTATTGCTAAGAAACACCCCTCATGACGAGCCTGAATGGCGGGGCTACACCACCATGTCGACAGCAGTCACCGGGTGTTTGACCCTGCAGGTTTTCAGTTCTTCTTTTTTATTTGCCTAAATATTCTAAAATAAACATGTAATGCTTCTGCAGAGAGAAAACTATAACTTGTTTTTATATTCTCAGGAAGTTAAAAGGATTCAAAGGACTCTCTTTGAATTAATTCTTCTTTTTTTATTTGCCTAAATATTCTAAAATAAACATGTAATGCTTCTGCAGAGAGAAAACTATAACTTGTTTTTATATTCTCAGGAAGTTAAAAGGATTCAAAGGACTCTCTTTGAATTAATTTTCAGGGTCAAGGTACTCACTATCCCTGAGAGAAATTAAAATGATGTTCAAAAAAACAAGGAAAAAAAAGAAACTGCCTTTTCACATCCTTCTCCCCTTTGTTGAGCAAACAATGCTTTGTTTTAACCAATAGTCCCTGTACCTGTCTGTGGCTGGCACCAGAGGGTGAAGCACTTGGCAACTTACCATGGCCATGACTCTATATCAAGATCCAAGTTCAGTCGCCCAACAGAAGTGGCTCTGTGACAAAAGCAGAAGGGAAATTACTGTGATAAGAGAAGTGGCACTAAAATCATTAATCAGGATAATTAGTAATTCACATAAAGCCAAGCCATGGGGAAATGACACCCAGCTTCATCAAAAGGCCAGCTATTGATTAGCCAAAGATATAAGGGCCAAGCTAACAGTTAAAGAGAAACTGTTAGAACAGTCAAGTTTATTATATCAGTAAAATACTTTCCTATCTGCTCTTCTGTTTGGAGATACAAGTTACAGAAATGATTCCTACTGCTTTGTTAGGGTGAAGTACCATTGCTTATACTTGAGCCATACAGTTGTATGATGTAGTGGATCAGAAAAGGTGCCCCCTTTGAGAGAACAGATAATCCAACTGCATCAGGGAAAAGTACAGTACTCTTCACCTACATTCTGATGTGTGTGTGTGTGTGTGCACACGCGCGTGCGCGCACATGTGTGTGTGAGGACAGACCAGTAGCCTAATCAGCACTAGAATCCTTTCATTTTCCAATGGCTATTTTCACTGCCACCATTTTAGGATTAAAAATGCTTCTTCCCTTTAAGCTGCAGCCTACACATTCAACTTTGTCCTCAGTTTTCAGCAACCTTTCCCTCATCAAGAAGACTCGAGTCATCACACATTTTTTTTTCAGTTGTTCAGAATGCAAGAAGTGTCTTCAGTAGGCTAGGACTCTGGGGGGTTGCTATGACATATAGGCAAGTCCCCTAAGGAGCAGGCCAACTGCCTCCTGTTCCCATATCTAAGTAATATGGACAAGTCTCCTTTCCTAAGCATTTAATTAGATCCTGATACTCAAAGAGTCATCCTAGAATCAGAAGCATGGGCATCCCTGGGAGCTTGTTAAAAATGCAGAATCTCAGGCCTCCACCCTAGACCTGCTGTCAAAATCTGCATTTTAAGTTTCCCCCAAGTATTTGTCTGCACAGTAGTTTGAAAAGCTCTGGCATAGACAACCTGACCAAGCAGCGCTTTTTAGCTCACTTAGATTAACACTCAAGCCACGTTTAGTCACATTCACTTTTTGTCTTCAGCTTTCCTCAGGCCCAGCTCCTTGTTTCCCACCATTCATTGCAGACTGTCCTCATATTACATAGGGGTTCAGTCCCATCTTAAGGGGAAAGCCAACTGGTTAGGGGGCACAGCCTGAGCAAAGGTGCAGAGGTGGAATGGGCAGTGGGTTCAGAGACAATGAGGAGACAAAGGCTCACCCAGGGAAGGCTCAGAGATAAGGTTGGAAAAGCAGGGGGGAACTAATTGGTAAGGGCTTTGTATGCCCAACTGAGGAGTTTGGCTTTAAAACTGTAGGTAATAGGAAAATAGTGGAAAGTTTTTTGTTATTTGCAGAGAAATGCTATAATAAAAGAAATGCTTTAGCAAGGTACTATACCACAGGATAGGCTGTAGTGGGAGAGACTGGAGTGACGGACAAGGAGTCAGGAAGACTGAAGAGACTACTGGAGGTACAGACAGGTAGAGGCAAAGACCTGGGTAGGGTGTGGCAATTGAATATGATATACATGAGATGTTTGGAAGGAAGACTTTATTGGATGTAGTGACTTGTGGTCTAGTTGATAGAGATAATGCAGTGAATAAGACAAAGAATCTGCCTTCAAGGAACTTACAATCTACTGGGAGAAACACACAACAAATAAATGAATAAATAAGATAATATACTAATAACTTTGAGTTTGCACCATAAGACTGAATTTTTAAAATTCTAGTGAGGAAACTGGAGGGTTTGTTGAACTGTTAACCAAGATCAGAAAAAGAATTAGTTACACATGTTTAATCTGGCCTGAGAAACCCTCTGGACTCTCATTCTTGAGCTCTTATGTACAAACCACAATCTAACTTAGTATGTAAGCAATATGGGCAAACTGAAAAACCTGACTTAGAGATGTGCTTGGGATGATAGCCAGGCCGTCAACTGTTCTGTACCTCGCTTCCTTTTTTCTGCCTGTTAATCTAACTGGCCATGTGTTTTTGGCTACAGTCCCTCTGAATCGTTTCAACTCTATTGGTTGCCCAATTTATGAATCATTTTTATTTTTTTTCTTTTCATGCTCAAATTAAACTTCATTGAATTTAATTTGCCAAAAATTTATTCTTTTAGCACGAGACTGAGTGAACTGATGAACATATAACAGGACAATGGTATAGAGCGGGGATCAGCAAACTACAGTAGCTCATGGGCCAAATCCTGCTTTTGTATGGCCTATAAGCTAAGAACAGCTTTTACATTTTCAAATAGTTGGCAAAATTATCAAAAGAAAAATACTTCATGACACATGAAAATTACATGAAATTCGAACTTCAGTGCTGATAAATAAAGACTTACTGGAGCACAGTCACACCATTTATGTATTGTCTGTGGCTGCTTTCATGCTACAACAGCAAAAATGAGTGGTTGTGACAGAGACCATATGGCCCACAAAGGTGAAAATATTTACTATCTGGCCCTTCACAGGAAGTTTGCTGAGCCCTGATATGAAGGATGATGTGATCAGGTTACCAGGAAGGAGCAGGCTGGGACAGAGTGATGCGAGTTGGCGTTCTCTGAGATTACATCTGAGCTAAAACCTGAATGAAGGGAGGAGACCAGCCATTCAAGTTGTGGAGGACTCTTTCAGGCAGAGTAGTTAGTACAAAGACCCTGATGGAGAAATAAGCTCACTGTGTTTGAGGGATGAACAAAAGCATCGTGAAGAAGGGCAAGAGTGGCATGAGATGAAGTTAGAGTAGGGACATGTGATATTGTGACTTATAATAAGAAATATGTATTTGGTCTTTGTCCTGTTCTTGGCACAGAGCTCCTAATATCCTTGGAATTTTCTGGCCCCTTTCAATCACATCTGTTTATGTTAATGAGGTGACTTTTATTTATTTATTTATTTATTTTTTAAAAGATGACCGGTAAGGGGATCTTAACCCTTGACTTGGTGTTGTTAGCACCACACTCAGCCAGTGAGCGCACCGGCCATCCCTATATGGGATCCAAACCCATGGCCTTGGTGTTATCAGCACCACACTCTCCCAAGTGAGCCACGGGCCGGCCCAATGAGGTGACTTTTAAAAAGCCCCTAGAGGGCTGGCCCGGTGGTGCACTGGAGAGTGTGCCGCTTGAGAGCGCGGCGGCGCTCCCGCCGAGGGTTCCGATCCCATGTGGAGACCAGTTCCAGCTCACTGGCTGAGCGTGGTGCGGGCGCAACACCGAGGGTTGCGATCCCGTTGCCGGTCCCCGGTATGGGCGTGACACCGTGGGTTGCAATCCCGTTACCGGTCAGTAAAAAAGACAAAAAGGAAAAAAAAAAAAAAGAAGCCCCTAGATAACTAGAGGATACAGGACTGCTTGCAAAGGGTTGCAATCCCATTACCGGTCAGTAAAAAAGACAAAAAGGAAAAAAAAAAAAAAAGAAGCCCCTAGATAACTACAGGATACAGGACTGCTTGCCGAGGGAACCAACTATGTGATTAGAGGGTTGGAACTTTCAGCCCCACCCCCGGCTTCAGTGGAGGGGAGAGGGGCTGGAGATTGCCTTAATCACCAATGGCCAATGATTTAATCAATCATGGCTACCTAATGAAGCCTCCCTAAAAAACCACAAAGACGGTGGAGGGTTGAATGGGGAGAGTGTTCAAAGAGCTTCGGGTTGGTGAACATCCAGGTGCTGGTAAGACAGGATAGGGCTTGGCCTGTGAACCAAAACAAGTCCATTTTCCTTGCAGAGGATATTTTTTACTTTTCCACTCCTCAGTCATGAGACCCCCCATATGTTCCTGATAAGAGTGACTGAAAGAGACTACTTGGTTGTTGGACATAATTGCCCTGATAAAATAAACTGAGATAAGGGGGAACAGATACTTAATGAGTTGCAAAACCCTTCCCCAAGGTTTGTTAAAATATAACTGTTAGCTTTGTTTAAAGCTTATCATTACCTACCCATTCTTTCTTTTCCTGTAATTGTGAAGGATAAGTTACAGATTAATCTTAAGACCCCTTTAGGAGCTAAACAAGATGCTCCTGGAACCAACCTCCTTCATGACCATTGTGAAAATAGCAGAAATCATCAAAGCAAGATGCCACTCAATTAAGAAACTGCTTGACTTTAAAAAGACCCTTCCCCAATTTCCCCCAGGCAGCTAGCGTGACTCTCACATGTGCACAAAGCTTCAAAGTGACTGCTACAATGACTCTCCTGGGGTAGTGATAATGAGCAACACCACCATCTTGGACCTACTGAAGAGATGCAAGGACCAAAGCCCTAACTGACTATGCACCCATGATGCAACCAGAAAGAACAGAATGGACCACCTCCAGAGGTGCAGAATGATGACACTGGCCTGCCCCCTTGCCCCTGGCCCTATGACAGACCCTGAACAGCTCCCCTTGGGGAGCTAGTTTCCCTGTAGCAACCCCCATTATGCATAAATCTATCTCCTCTTTTAATAAAGCATTGTTTGTTTTACTGCTGGGTGCATTGTTTATTTCTATGGCTTTGAGACCCAAGAGCCTAATTTGGTAACACTGGGAAAGTGGTGCAACTGGAGAGGCCGTGGGAGCTCCATGCCTCCTCTTCCATAGCTTGCCCTGTACGTCTCTTCCATCAGGCAGTTCCTGAGTTGTATCCTATTAAAATAAATCGTTAACGTGGTAAGTAAACTGTTTTCCTGAGTTCTGGGAGCCATTCTAGTAAATGATCAAACATGAAAGGGGAGGGTGTGGAAACAGCCAGTCAGTATGAAAAACAGGTGATAACCTGGACTTGAGATTGGTGTTTGAAGTGGGGTCAGTCTTGTGGGACTGAGCCCTTAACCTGACACTAATTCCTGGTAGATAGTGTCAGAATTGAGTTAAATTGTAGACACCCAGTTGGTGTCTGCAGAGAATCGAAAAATTGTTTGGTGTGGGAAAAACTCCCACAAGTCTAGTGCCAGAAGTGAATGCTGAGAATATAGAGAAAAATAGTTTGTTTTTCCTATACAGTTGGTGTCAAAAGTGGGATTTGCTGGAATGGCTCTGGCTCACAGAAACATAGTGTGGGAAAGAGAAAGGATAAAGCGTTGGAGATGAGAAACCTTTGTGGCCACATGGTCACCCATGGTAAGGAGCAGCTACTGTGCTGCAGTTGGTTACTAAAGTTCAAAGTTACCAATAGAATTTAGATATGGATCTAATTCCTGAGGAGTTGGTTCACTGGATGCATAAAGAAATGCAAACAAATAAGAAAATGTGAAATATTCAGTCCATTGGTTATTGTTATCTACAATAGCTAAAATGAAATTAACAGAGACTGCTGAGTCAGACATCGATGCTAGGCCAAGCTCAGTTTCCAGTAAGTCTGCACTTCAGCCACTAACCTCAGAGCCATCCCCAAGGGAAAAATTGTGCTGGGACTACACAAAGTACTGCTAAGAACTCTGGTCATGAAGAAGAGCAGGCCCCTCAAAAGTAGGTGGAAAATGCCATAGTCCCTGAGTCCCTGGACTTCATTTAACATGTAATATACTAGCTAGTGACTGTAGTGATTGTAGTTGAAATAAAAGGATAAAAGAAAGTAGTCACATGCAAAAGTCAGAATGTTTCACCAGGTATAAAGTAACAGTAACTATAGATCTGAGTTAGCACCATGAGACTTTGCATTCCCTTTTTTGGAGGGGGATATAGGTAATATCACTGACATATGTCTTTGATTTGTTTTCCAGAAACCAAGACCATCCCCAAAGGAGACTCATAACTACCCAGTTACCATCAGAATGTAACCCCCACACTGAATGGAAGATTCTAAGAATAACTTGTTGATTGCACAACTGGCCCTAATCAGCACTGCCCACAAGCTGATCATGCACCAAGACACTTACCCATCATTTTACCCTATATGAACTTTTTTCACCAAGCAATCAGAAAGCCCAGGTTTTTTAGCATGTGCTACCCATCCTCTTTGCTTGCTGCTTTGCAATAAAACACCTTATCACTGTGAGATAGGGTGACCCCCACTTTCATAACATACACAATTCGCTTCTGTGAAACTGCTTGCTGTGTGACAAGGTAGATTGATTAAGTTTAAATAGTGTTTGAATTGCTTAGAAAATGTTGTTTGAAAATCCCCCTCAGCTCTTCAGCCCCCTTGATAGAAGTTAAAAGCTAAATATTAGCCTGCGCTTAGAGAAGTTTCAATTTTGTTTGCTGTTCCCCCACCCAAGCTGCCCCTGAGCGACTAACTGGCTTATTTCAGCTTCTGTTATCAGCTTGCGGTAGACCTCCCCAAACCCCCTCCTCACACCAGGAGGATATGTGTGTCTGTGTGTGACTATATAATAACTATAAGTGTGTGACTATTTGATAATTTTAACTATCTAACTAATGTAAAAATGTGCCTTTTAAAAAACCCTCTAAACTTCAAGTCAGGGCTGCTGTCTTCCAAGACTTTCTTAGAGAGACAGTCACCAGCCGGCCAATAAAAACCCCCTTTTAAATTCTCAATTGGGTGTTCTGGTTCCTTTTCCGTGTGGCAGCCTCACAACAACTGCAATCTTGGTGTCAGTGTATTGGCTTTACTGTTCATGAGCAAGTGAATCCTGGCTCGATTTGGTTCAGTGACAGTCACCAACAAGGTAGTCCATGTGGGCAGAGGGCAAAACCAAGAAAATATTAAATTGAAATGTTACTGGATGGACCAGGTTCTTGGGTTTCGAAGTCATAGAAATGAACAATGCACCCAGTAGTAAAGCAAGCAACACTTTATTTAAAGAGAAGAGAGCCTATGCATAAGAAAGATAGCTATAGGGAAGCTGGCTTCCTGAGGGGAGCTGTTCAGAGTCCTTTATACAGTAAGGGGTGCAGGGCAGCATCATCATTCTGCTCCTCTGGAGGTGGTCCATTCTGTTCTTCCTAGTTGTGGCCTGGGCGCATGCTCAGTTAGGACTTTGGTCCTTGTGCCTGCTCAAGATGGAGACAGTACTCACTACTGCCACCCCAGGAGGTTGTAGCAGTCACCTTGAAGTTTAGTGCTCATGTGGGAGTCAGGCTAGCTGCCTGGGGGAAGTTTGTAGTTTAAAAAATTGCTTATCTTAGTTTGTGAAAATAGCTTAGATGGGTGTGCTAGATTCTTTGAAAATATCTTATCTGGGTGTGCTGGATTCTTTGAAAGTAGAGGTGAGTGGCTGAGTTGAGGGGCCAAGTCCTGTCCCTATCCTGTCTCAAAGCGGGTACAGTGGGAAGGAATTGTTTCATATTGTAGTTCAGTATCATCAGCTTCCTGAAGAACCTTTATTAAGATGAATTGTGACAGCAACTAATTTAAGGGCTGTGTCTTTGGTGTTGAATGCTGCAGAGTGGAAGAGCATGTTTGGGTTGATGCAGGACTCACAACTAACTATGGAACGATCCCAGATGGCTATATCCAGACACACAGGAGGTTATTCCCTAGGGACAAGACAGCCTGGTAGACTGGAAAGAAGCCACTGTAAGGTCTGTTTACCCTGAGAAGAGGAACTTCCCACACTCCCTATAAATGCCAACTGGAACACTGGAGATGACACAGCTGATATGCTTTATATGCAAGCCATGTGGGACTGGCTTTATGATAACTGGGATATTCATCCACTGAAGATGTCTGTTACCCAGGTCATGGTAAATACTGTCTTTAAGGGAGTCACACGGACACCCCTTATAACCTTACTGCTGAAAAACCAAAGGACAGTCAGGAAGCCTTATTGAATTTGCTCCCTCAGCATCCCCTTATGGGTCTTACAGATGTTAATAAAAACATTAAGTTAATTGACAAGAGAATGGGGAAAGGCACAGAGAGTCAAGGGACTGGTCTTAGTTGGGTGGGAAATTTAAAGTGTTTGTTAAGACATAAGATGTTACTTCTGCATTTGAAAGAAAAAAAGTAATAAGATGAGTAAAGCAAATATGATAGAAGCAAAACAAAACAGTCATGAGTAGAGCTTTTGGAGACTTTCATGGGCCTTAGCCACTCCTTGATCTGGAGACCCTGTTCTACATCATATGAATTATCAAAATGCACCCATCTCCCTCACTAAGTATAATTTATACGTGAGTTGAATTGAGTTGCTGCTGATTGGCTGACAACTCTGGAAGACAGCTTTTCGGAACAAGGGTTCTTTCCATGTAGTTGATGGGGCCCAGAAAGTGACACCCCAAAGTGAAGGCCTCAAAAGCAGCCTCAGGGGCCGGCCCGGTGGCGCACTGCTACAGTGCGCCGCTTGGGAAGCGCGGCGGCGCTCCCGCCGAGGGTTCGGATCCCACATACAGACCGGCCGCTCACTGGCTGAGCGAGGAGCGGGGGCAACACCGACGGTTGTGATCCCGTGGCCGGTCCCGGTCCGGTACGGGCGCGACACTGAGGGTTGCGATCCATTGCCGGTCACGAAAAAAGACAAAAAAAAAAAAGCAGCCTCAGAAGCAAAGTTTTCCTTTGACCTTCTCCTCAATCTCCCCTGAGGCAAGCTACAGAAACTAGAATCATCTTTCCCAAGGCAGGTCATAGAAACCAGAGCCCCTTTCCCCCAATGCCACCCATAAAGACAACAATTATTCTCTAATCTTACCCTTGCCTTTCTGTCTCGGAGCTGGCCATAAAGAAATTTTCTGCCCTACCTTGCCTGATTGTAGGTCATTAGACCTCCATTCCAGAAGGGGTCTTGCTCCATACCTGGGAGGAAGGAATGC